TGAGGTTGCAAAGGAGTGGATTCCTCATTTGGTTCTGCTGCTGCATGACTATTCACTCCTCTTGTACGTGTATCTTCTTAGAAGGGGAGGTCTGTGCATTTGTGCATCTAACAGCTCACCATTAAAACAAAATTGACCTGAAAAGCTTCATTAATGAGGAGCCAAATTCAACTAGCTGCAAGAAACTCAACGATCAAGTTTTCTATCCACTGAGACCCTTTTATACAGTTCCAGGAGGAGAGTATGTTTAAACATGCATTGAAGTCTCATTACGTTCCTGGAGTGGTGTAAACACCTTCTTTAAGGACCCTTTTTGCTACCAGAGTGCTCCTAGAACAAACAAGAGTCAGTGCTCATTGTATTCAGGTTTTGGCGTCCCTTACCTTCAGTTTTAAAAATCTGTCAGGGCAGAAGAGTTCTCCTGCCTCCCTCTACCCTGCACTGCTTAATTCTCATTTTCCAAAACACTTGCAGGTTTGCCATCCCAGCTCTTAAAACAAAGTGTATTTTACTCGCTGTTTGGGTGCTTTTAATAGCATAAAGAAAGGATTCCACATCCAAGCACTCCAGTTAAGAACTAGGTAGCCAGGTTCAAAATGGGCCAGAAGTTGGGTCATTTTCTGCTTGTCACATGCTGCCAATTAGCAGTGTTATTAATCACTGCCTAGAAGAAGATGGGTATTGGAACAGTCGGTGTCACTGACCATTGACAAGGCGGTGTGCAGAAGGTCTTGCTGTAGCTGCCAGTTACTGTGCTGCAGCATTGGAACTGAGTCTCATTTCCACAGAAAAACAGCAATTTCTTTATTTCTTTTTATTCAGGCATGAAGACAGGCTGTAAATAGTGCGTATATAGTGTTCTGGGCAGTGAATCTGCTACAGGCTCTGGGAGAGCTAATGCAGCATCTGCCCTTCTCCGTCCCACGAGCGTGGTCGGGGAACACCTTGTGTCTGTGAACATCCTTCATTGCCTTCGCCCACAGAGCTGCCCCAAGGCTCTTCGGGGGTGGCAGATCTGAATTTTGCTTCCACAAGGCTGAGGATCTGAACCCGGGCCAGAGCTTTGTTTCCTGCTGGTGAGAGGAGAGGAGCTGGGGAGAAGGCAAGGGTCAGGTATGCTTTTTCTGCTGCTCCGGGGGCAGCAGGAAGAGGCTGGTGGCTAACCTCCAGCTGGAGACCACAGTCCCTTGGTGACAGCGGCCAGCCTGCTTCTCGAGGCCACAGACCAAAATAAGCAATGACGTGGGACAGCAGACAGTGGAGGAGATGAGAGGCATAGCCCTGCTGCATGCTCCCTGTTGTGTTGGGTAGCAGGATTTTTGTTCTCTAGGGGAGTTGTACTTGAGCTTGTTTGCTTAAGAAAAGATGTCCAGAGCTGTGCCTTACTGCCTGCCTGGCCATCAGATCTTTCAGCGAGACGAGAAAGTGGCTTTGGTTTGACTTGTTGTTTCTCCTACATCTTACATCTGTGTGAAACAGATTTCTATGACAGAGGATGAAACACTAAGAACAATTTTTGAAGTGGGTCCTCCAACTTCTGGTTTGCAGCTACAGTAATTTGTGGGTGAAGAAAATATTTGGGTACTGCAGAGTTGCCAAAATATTGTTTAACAGGGAATTGCAGTTTAATTAGCACTTATCAGACATTAGCAATAATTGTTTTCAATTTGACCGCTCAGGGTAAAGTGTGATTCAGGTTCGCTTGGTTGATGCTGTGTGGTCTGCTGGAGATATGCCACTAGCTTCCTGTCCACAGGCAGAAGCTTTTGGGGCTGCTTGTCTCTTTTTGATGAAGATGAGATGTCATCTTCAACTGGGACAAAGTGGAGGGAATTTGTATTAGCTAGAGGCGGATGACTTGACTCAAAGTTACTGCAGCAAGATGGATTAGAGTTTATCTCTACGATCTCATTTGCTGTGATTTTTAGGAAAAGTGCCAAAAACTTAAAGGGGAAAAAAAAAAAAAGAGAGAAAAAGAAAAAAATGTTTCCATTTGCTTATTTATGCTTTGTTTTGGCAAGGAATGAGAAAGCTTGCCACTTTTAGCGAGTGTGTGAACAAGAAAGGCAAGGGAACCTGGGGTGAGGTTTGACGTGGAGATGGTGTAAGATGCAGCTTAGCCATAAACATCCCTCAAATATTTCTTCTCCCTTTGTAGCAGGGTTCATTATGTTTTCTGAGTTTGTGGCTGTAGGTGAAAACAAAGGCAGTCCTATAAAATGAACGTAGTTTCAAAGGCTGGCTGAGAACAGAAAGTAAACTGTATGCAATTTAAGCACCCGTTTGTATACAGCTGTGCATCAGTGTGATGTAAGGCAGCAAAGATGACCTGGTTAGCAAAGCCCTTGCAAACTGCTGAGGAGATCCTGCTGCACCAGAGTTTCCCCTCCTTGGGGACCTGCGGTTAGTCTTAGCTGAAGGAAAGCTTTATACAGTAACAGGAGCTATCCCAGGGCTTTTGAGAATGGCAAATACAACACTGTGCACGTGTGTAAGGGTGAGGGAAGTTAAGGCATGCAGGCTGTTTACTGCTCTTTACAAAATAGCTGGGATACATCAAGAAACGCTACCTAAATCGCATGGGCTTTGTGAGCTCCGTTTGCAGGAGTTTGGGAGCTCTGTGTGTTTTGGAAGGATGAAACCCAGCATTCGGCAGACAGAAACCCTAGGGCAATATAAAGTAAGTCATCTTCCAGTTTTGTAAGCTCTTAAAACCTTGCTTTCATAGGAGTGAGCAGCCAGAGGTCCGCAGACTTCCATGGCAAGTAGTGATGATGTCTTGGTGCTGTCTAGTGATTCCATGTCAGATACGGACAGAGAAATCTGTGAAATTAATGCAAGAAGACAGATAAGATACGACGTTGTCTCTTTCCCTTGTGAGTACATACAAATATGCACAATTGATATGAGGTTTTTTTCGGTTACTTTATGTCTTACCGTGCAAAGGGAATGTATGGTATTGTGGCAGCAATGCAGGATTTTGGGTCAGGAGCTGCCAGTACCACTCCTGGCTCTGCCAGAGCTACTTGTGTGGCCAGGAGTATTAAATCCTGCTCCTGAAGACAGCAAGCTGTTTATTTGAGCTTCGTTTTCAGACTTGCTGAATGCCCCAAAAGGCTGTTATTACCAGAGGGAACTGCTGTTCCCCAACTCTCAAGTCGGGTTGCCCCTATATCACAAGCACATGCTTTGCTCAGAAGGTGGGAGGAGGACCTGAGCATCTCTGTGCACCATAGGCACAAGGTGAGGCGGCAGTCACCATCTCGCAGGCAGGAGCCGAGTTGCAGCCAAGCTCTCTGTGCCGTTGTTTCTTTTTTTAACAATAAATACATCTCTGTGGCAACAAAATAACAATTCTCTTCTATAAATGAAACGCTGAAATATTTTGTAGATGCAGAATTTTGCGATGGCAGTGCCTGTGCTGGTGGCAGTCTGCTGCGATCTGTCCGTCCTTGTTCGGGACGGGCTTTGCTGTGATAGTGCTTCCATTCCTGAGCTTCCATTAGTGCCTCGATGAATAGTAGAAGATGGATTTCAACAATTTAATGGTTAAAAAGCAGCATCTTATCGTTTGGTTTCTGGTGCCTTTTCCCATTCATTATGCTTTTGTCTGGCGGTGACGGTCATGGCTTAGAATTGCAACATCAACACTGGTCTCTGAACCATCTGTTTTCTCTGACCATAAATTTGGGGGAAGGAGGAGAAAGGATGAAGAAGGAAGTCAGGGGGTTAGTTCTTCTGATATTGCCAGGGCAGCCCTTGGAAAACGTGCTGACTGGCAGCAAGCAAGACCCAGTTATTTCTGGTTCTCTTGTTCTCTCGTCAGATCAGGCCTGGAGCGCAAGTCTCCAGCAGGGCTCCAGAGGCACAGCCAGGCCCAGGCCATGCGCCTGCACTCAGATCCTTTGCTGCCATCGGCTCTCGTGCTAATGGCCTTAGTGCAGGGGTGAAAGGCTGCTGAGATACAAAGGCTGAATCACCTCCTTTTTAAACCCCTCAGCAGGATCAGGTGGAAAGTGGCATGTGGGCTTGCTTTCTGACTGACAGTGCGGTTGGAGAGCGTGACTCTAGGAAAGGCCTTGTAGCAGTTTCCACCAGCCGCTGGAACATGGGTGTCTGGTGATTAAAACACCCCTGCGCTGAGACCCCTGCATGAAAAAGCTTGATGTGTTCCTTTCCTTCAAAGATTTGCTGAACCCACAAGCACCTTTACTTGCTTTACTTAAGATTTGTCCTGTGACCTGAGAATTAAAGAAATCGGTGGTGGGCCCGTTGGTCTAGCCAGGCAGATAAGAAACATCTCTAAGTGTGCATATTTTACAGATCTAACTAAACCAGCAGCGTAGGTCTCACTGTTTGCCTTGGCAGTATCCCATCTGCATGAATCAGGATATGGTGGCACAAAAGCACTCGAGGCTCCTCCAGAGCTGACATCTCCTCATCGGGAGACATGTCCGTGCAGGCAGGCTGGTTTGGAGCTTACTAACAGGAGCCCTGCTTCATCAAGTCCCTGCATTTTGAGCAGTCCTGCCTAGGAAGTGAGCTCATTTGTGTGAGCTCTGGTGGTGCAGTGTCCTGTCAGTGGAAAAGTTTTGCTGCCCTTCCCAAACTCAGGGCAGGGGGGATGTAGATGTGTAACGGTGTACTGTACTCATGACTTTGGTCCCTTGAAAGGAAGGGAGCTCCTGTGCCTCGAGTGGACAAGTGGGAGTTTTTAAGCATGGTACATCTCTGCAGCTTTTGATAGGTCTCTGGATCGCTCCACACCTTAGTTTCTAAGCTCTAAATTAGAAATAGAAAATGGTCTTGAACTGAAATTCAGTTGTAACTGGTGCTGCTGTCACTACCGTGAGGCACTTGTGTTGCTTTGAGCCTCTGACCTGTGCTTTAATGTTGGTAATAGTAGCAATTTATACTAGCTTTTGGGAACCTAGAAAATACACAATTTAATGTTTTTTTGTTTGTTTGTTGTTGTTTGTTTGTTTATTTTTTTATTTCAGCAAATTCAGTGAAGGTAGAAATGCAAAGTGATGAGGAATCTGACAGGAAGACCTTCTGTCAGGAAGATGAGGTCAGGGTTCTCGATGAAGGAAGCAGCCTGGAAGAGCCCCTCGCTGAGAATAACGAGATGACGGATAACAGAAAGATTCAGGAGCTATCGAGCGAGGGAGGAATCCGGCTTCCGAATGGTAAACTGAAATGTGACGTCTGTGGCATGGTTTGCATTGGGCCCAATGTGCTAATGGTACATAAAAGGAGCCACACTGGTAAGCAGCTGAAAGAAAATCTGATGACTGCCTGTGGCATCTGATGTTGATATTACCTGACAACTGTTCTCTCTTCCCTTTTCATTCACGGGGTTGCAGGAGAGTGGGGAGGGGAAAAGGGGAAAAGCGGGCTTTGCTGTTTCAGTTCTCCCTCTGCTCCCCGGACTCTGGTGATTCTGTGTTTCTGGCAAGCATGGTGCTTCCTTGGTGTTCATTTCTAGTTTTTGGTTCTTAAAAATGCGACACAAGTCTGAAAATCAATCTTTCTACTGACCTTGACTGGGGAGAACATGGAGGGCGTGCGTATGTGATCGTGTGTGTGCACGTGTGAGATTTTTTATACTTTAAGGTGAGTCTCAGGGCTTTCCCTCGGAGCTGCTTGTAGGTAGACAAGGCCAGCAGCTCGGGTGTCCCACACCTTCACAAGAGTCTGGGCATGATGCTGGGTGACTGTGCAAAGCCATGGCAGGCAGGCGTTACCTTGTGCTCAGATGCTTATCCTGGTGCTCAGATGGGCTTGCTGCTCATCATGGGACAGCTTCATCATAGAAATCTCACCTGAACTGTTCTTATGGACTAGTCCTTGCCCTAACAATGTCGATGCCATTTTTTTGTGGCATCTTTCAATCCTTACATTTTCTCATTTATGTCTATTACTGTTAGTGCTACTACTTGGTGGGGACCAAAACGGCTTACTAGCCTTGAGGATTTGAGAATTCAAGAGGTAGACAAAACCTTTAGTGTAAAAGAAAGAAGGGGCCACGAGTTGAAAACAAGTTTTGAGAGAGTCTGGACAAATCTGGTAAATGGAGGTACGCAGAGGCTGATCCTTAACTTGCTCAGGGAGGAAGGACAGTTACCTCCAACAGAAAAATCAAGTGGGGGTGGTGCCAGAAGACAATATTGTGGAGTCTTATGGAATCTGTCACGCAGAGCCATTGATTCAGAAAAGCTCTTAAGCACACGTTGAAGTTCTGTGAGATTTAAGACGTGTAGCACCTGAACTGCTATGGTATATACTTTTTGGCTTAAGGCATACACTTAAATCTTACTGAGGGTAAGCACAGGTTTCTGTGGAGCCTCAGGGGGTGTTTATTCATACTTTTTTTTGAAAAAATTAAACATATCTTGTTGGTTTTTTTTTAAAATCTCTCTCTGCTATTATTTAGTGGGGTAAGAAACTCCCACTGTAACTGAGATATCTGACAGGATATAAAAAGAGAAAGTGGAGTTTTAAGGCAGAATAAGAAAAGACTTGGTATAATCCCCCTGTAAACATGGCAGTTTGCAGTCAAGTAGTGTGCACTTGATGGGAAAGAAATCAATAGAATTTCTGTACGGAGGAATAACAAATATATATTACATAGTTAATGCCCTGTATATAAGCTGTATTGATAATAACTTAAATGTATAATGCAAAGCATTGCAGTATCATTTATGATGCAGTCATGATTTTAGACAGCTATTACGACAGGGGAAACGCATTAGCTGAAGGAATGAAATCTTGATTAACAGTTTGACATGCTATTACTAGAAAAGGGAAAGAGAACAGAGAATGCAACAGACTGAGTCTCCAGCTTTCAGCTGAAAAGTTTTCACTGGCACTTGCATCTATCTGAGCATATGTATTGTAGGTGCATCAGAGTCCACGTATTTGAACTTGAACAGTTAAATTAGACCTGCTAATTTTAGATTTAGGTGCTTAATTAAATAGTCTCTGTTAGCTAGCTCATCTTTTAAATACCGACAAAGCTGCCTTTTTGTTTTAAAGAAAATGTGAATTCAAAACAAATAGGACAAAATCTGTGTAGGTCTGTGTATGGGTGACAACCACTGCACGTGCGTTTATAGGCAGGAGTTACATGGCTAGTAGCTTTTGCCTTCTGGGTAGTGATGGCTCTGTGTTGAGCTACGTCTCTTCTCCCATCTGAGCAGAGGAGTGTGCTGCCTTGAACTGTACAGACATCTTAAGCATGTAGAAGTGCAGCCTGGTGCTCTACTCTCGGTACAGCAGTTGGCAAATTTTGCGGGGGATTTTTTTTCCCCTGCTTTGTTTGTTTGTTTTTTAATACATGCTGCTACTTCACTGTCCACAACAGAAGGAGAAATCTGCTTGGATTTCCACATCCTTGATTTTAAGGAGTATTTTTAACATACTGGTATCTCTCTCCTAAAGTGCAGTACTTGAAAATATATTGCCACTTCCTCAGCAGTTGGGCTGAATGGGTTGGCCCCAGCTCTGGAATGAACCCTGGCCTGTGGGTAGTCTGGTTTTACAGCCCAAGGGAGGATGGTGGAGGGAAGGGAGGTTGTGCCTAGTAAGTGGAAATGGATGACGTTCTTCATCAGGTAACGCGACTGGCATGTAAGTCCTTACCTCAAAAGACAACCTGTGTGTGCCTTGGGAGCTGGATCCTGCCTTACGTTCCTCTTTATCAGCACACAGCCAAAGCGTGGTCTGGCCAGTTGTTTGCACTGGCAAAAACTGAAGTCCTTTTCCGTTCCCAAAAACCTGACAGCGTTCTGTGTAAACCACTCAGTGCTGCGGTCGTGGCAGAGATTGTAATTTGCCTGTATGCAGGGACAAAGCTGTGGCTTTCCTTACGCTTTGGAACTGAAGCTTTGTGAGAAGCTGTGCCATATGGCTTTGGCTGTTTTGTGCTCATCAAGGGACACAGTTTCCTGAAGGCATTGTTCCTCTGCTCTGGAGGAGCAGTTGCCCTGCCACATCACAATAGTTCAGCCAAACACGTCTAGGGATGGGGAGAATATCCTCTCCTGTGGGTAAGGACTGAGGGTGACAGTTGGGTGTCCCAGCTCTCATCCTCATCGAAAGCATCCATTTTCTCTCATGCTTATGGCCACTCCCTGCCTTGTTAAGAGTTACAGATTTTCCCTTTCTCCTTTGCACTTGCAGAAAGGACAAGTGACGGTCTGCTCCGTGGCCCCTCCATAGCAGAACTGCTTGTTCGATGCCACAGAACACAATGTTTCTCTGAAATGCTGGTAATTTAGGTGAAACGTTTGTGCAATCTGCACAGCCATCACGAGAAAGGCCTTTCTATTTATTTGTCATCACTGACAGAAAAGAAATGTTCGATATGAGAATTAATTGTTGTTGCACTCTGTACTTTAGTGAGCTGGCTAGCCCTGATCCCTTCCTCACATGCCACATGCTTGTGTCCAAAAAATAGCATGTGTCAGCATAGGTTTGATTTATTTTCCTCCTTCTCTATCTTCTTTTGGTCAGAATTTCATGTTCCCACACCAAGTGCCCCAGGTTGCAGCAGCATCTTTATCAGAGTTTTTTGTTGCTGCTGGAGGTAACGAGTCACATAATATTGCCACTGGATATGCCAGGGGCTGTGCTTGGGGACGCTGAGGAAAGGGGAGAGGAAGAAGATGAGGTCAATAATCCAATTTGTCTGAGCTAATGAAAAGGAACGCTGATGATTTCTCACCTCTTCAGACTTTCTGCTAGCGGGCCTGAATTAAAATGTCCTCAGCCCTCATTTTGTGCGAAGCAGAAACTATTTACTGCTACAGCCATGCAGTGGCCATGCTCAGTGAGCTCCACACCTCTCACTTGTGCTGTGAATAGTGATTTTTCCCCACAGTAACACCCAGTGCTTTTCCAGTCCGCTGTTGGGTTTGGAAGCACTACATGTTTCTAAGACAGGATTGGAATCGTCTTCATTGCATTAGGATTTGGGAGGGTTAGACACCCAGAGGTAAAGGGTTTGTGCTGATACAGCCAGACCTCAAGCCGCAGCTTTGGGGAGCAATGCAGCAGCACAGAGCTCATGCACCCTTCAGCTGGGACTGCTGCTGTGTTGTTTTCAGCCTTTTTGGAGTGCTAACCACGGAAGGGGTTCAGATCTTTCCCTGCTCTCCATGTGCATTGCAGTACCATTGAGTCAGTAAAGTAAGATAAGGTAAGCACCAGTGAGGAAAACCTTCAGTTCTACTATCACAAGCGTGGCCTTGTAACTGAGCATCTGCAGCATTGGAACTATGAATTTATTATTTTGGGAGGGGCAGAGTTCAGGTTTTTGGGGCACTACTACTGGATGAGGAAATCCTACTTTGCTGCTCCATATAAAAGACTTCTCTGCCTAAAGCAGCTAACTAGGAACAAATCTAAACAAATGGTCATATTAACACACAACAATTAACTCCCTTGAACTGCCTAATTCTTCTAGTACAAGAGTTTAATTGGCTTTAATTTGTTATTTGTAGCCTACTGCAGGCTACCTCTTGGAATAAGAATCATCTGGCAACGAATCAAAAGTCATAGGGCCAAATTTCAGAGAGTGATATTTTCTACTTAAGTTCTTAAATGAATCATCTGACTTCTCTGAAAGTGTCATTTTGTACTTAAGTGTAAGGAAGAAGCCCGTAGATGTTTGAAATTATTGAAATGGCTTTCTGCATAAGGATGTGTGTGACTTGCAGTACTTGCTAAACACATTTGGTTTTGGCCTGTTCACAGAAAGAATTTTTCACTTTTCAGAATACGGTCATAAATTTGTGTATAGAGGACACTTGGAAATCACCCAGAATTTCCCAGAAGTTTTTCCATAGAGATTTGCCACTAGTGTTTTAACTTGGAAGAGGGTTTTTCTCAACAACAACAACAACAAAAAAAAACCAACACAAAAACAAAGCACAGTAAAATCACGGATGGCAAGTGAGGTGCAGCTTGTTGAGCGATGAATAGAACAGTGAGTATATAAACATGGTAGTCCCCAGAATAACAGACGTGGGAATGGAGCCAAGTCTGGTGCTCTGTATTTCATTGGGATGAAGGCACGTTGCATCTCATTGCCTGCCAGTGTGTTAGCAGTGCTGCTAAGATTTCATCTGGGACGGAGCAGGATCAGAGCGGTTGTAAAAGTGTTTCTTCTCACCCGAGTGTTAACAAAAAGCCTGCTGTCGAAGGGTGCAAATCAGTACTGTCAGTATGAAGAATGACTTTCTCCCTGGCAGCAGGAGCGTAG